TTGAGTATTGCTGTTTTCGTGTGGTTCCAACAGCATGGGTTTTTAAGAGAAGATATTATTTTTCATGCTGTTTTTCTTTGAGATTTTTAAATTGAATATCAATTATGGAAATGAGCCTTGTGATTTTTCGTAATTGATTGTTTTCCAAACAAACACTTCATCATATAAACATTCTGCATGATCGAGTTAGTATCCTGCAAAGTTCGAGGGAAAGGTGATTGACGGCTGCGTTAGTGTCGTGCCACTTCAACTCGAAGACTGAAGAAAGATCGAGTAGCAAAGCGTGGAGACAAAGCTGCCAACTGGTATGAGTGTCTAGTTGATGAGTTTTGTAAGTCTTTATGTATTCTTTCTTTCTTAGTGCTTCCTGGCTTGGTAGCCCGAGGATTTTCCCAGTGGTGGGTTTTGCCTCGTAAAATCCCACATCATGTGTGCACTTTTTATTTATCGTTTTAATTCCATATGAGTATGATAGTTTGATATGTGATATGAATGTGGATTTAATTTGAGAACTGAAAATTAAATTGAAAATTGAATTGGATTTTTAAATTGGAACCTATTCACCCCCTCTAGGTTAAACTAGTACCCATCCTAGAACTTTCAATTGGCACCAGAGCAGGTCACTAAAAACACCTAGTGAGATCCGTGGGTAGTCTAGGATGAATCGTGCTATGGGTTCAGTTTCTCATCCACCACATTTTGATGGCGACAACTATGCTGCGTGGAAGTCAAAAATGAAATCGTTTTTATGGGCGCAAGATGACAAGGTGTGGCTTGCTGTTGAAGAAGGTTGGGAACCTCCAACGATTGAATAAACTAAAGATAAAGGAGAGTCCTCTGTGTCTATATCTAAGCTTAAGCCTAGGAAAGAATGGAGCAATGATGAGCGTAGCTCTAGCACTTTTAACCAAAGGGCTTTGAATTCTTTATTCACAGCCGTTTCGCCTGAACAATTCAATTACATAAGTAAGTGTACAACGGCAAAAGAAGCTTGGGACATTCTTGAAGTTACTCATGAGGGTAACTCAACTGTTAAAGAATCCAAACTTCAACATCTCATCACAAAATTCGAAAATATCACAATGTCTGATGATGAAAGTTTCTCTGACTTTTATGCTAAGCTTAGTGTAATTGTCAATGACTGTCACAATCTTGGTGACAGTATTCCTGAGCATAGGATTGTGAAAAAGATCTTAAGATCACTTCCTATGAGGTTTCATGCTAAGAGGACAGCGATTGAGGAATCAAAAGATCTAAACACCTACAAGCTTGAGCAATTGATTGGGTCTCTGCAAACGTACGAGTTAGAGCTTCCTGATTCCAAGAAGATGAAAAGCATTACTCTCAAAGCTGTCAAAGAAGAAGAAAGTGATGGCTCAATTGAAGACTTGTCCGAAGATGAATTGGTTGAATTAACCATGCAAATTAGAAGGTTTCTCAAGTCTCAAAATTCCAAGGGTCGTGAGCAACGAACCAACTCAGGTTCGAACTCAAAAAACTTTCGTTCTCTAGATGTCTCACATGACAAAGCCTCTAAATCATCTAGAAATAGTGAACATAGGAGCTATAACAATAGGGTTCAGTGCCATGAGTGTCAAGGCTATGGACACATTGCTTATGAGTGTGCAAACACTATCAAGAGAAAAGAGAAAAAGAATAGGGCAATGAAGGTCACTTGGAGCGATAGTGATTCAGGGGATGCATCTACGTCGGAATCTGAGAAGGATACGATTGCGTTTATAGGAACTGTTGATGGATATGACACAGAAGGTTCATTTGTTGAAGAACCTGACTTGGAAGAAGTCTTGAGAAAATATTATGATCTCTATGACATCAGTGTGCAAGTAAAGAAGGATAACTCTAACTTGAAGAAGAAACTTGCATTTGTTGAAAGTGAAAAGAAAGAAGCTGAAGTTGAGCATCAATCTCAGTTGGACAATGGAGAGAAACTGCGAGAGTCGCTTTTAGAAAAGATTCACATTCTACAAACCACAATTAACACTCTCTCGTCTGATAAGAAAGCTCTTGAGGACGAAGTGGTTGAGATGAGAAGAAAAGTTCAGGAGTTGAGCATAGGTTCGGGAAAAATTGACAAGATGCTTAGCTATGGAAAAAGTTTTGGAGACAAAGGAGGTCTAGGATTCGAGTCTACAAAGACTGCAAGTTCTTCTTCTGTCACCAGATTTGTCAAAGCCTCTGATATTCCTAGTTTGAAAGTAGGTGACGATAAATGTTTAGGTCTTACTCCCGAAACATCTACAAACTTTGCACATGTGTCAAATCCTGTCAAGACTTCAATTAATCTTAACAAACCCAAACAATCTAGGAAGTTCATTCCTATATGTCATCTTTGTGGGATTCCTGGTCACATCCGACCTATGTGCAATAAGCTTAGAAAGAAAAATTCTTCTCAAGAAAAAGTTTCAAGGAACTTTGAAAAAGAAAATCTTAAGGAAAAATTTGTGACTTATTTGAAAGAGATTAATCGGATTGCAAGAATTATATCTGTTCCAAGTACGGTAGTTCCAAAAGTAAGACAAGTTTGGAGAAGAAAAGAGAATCAAAGTGGTGTACTTGTCAATTTATCTCTACTTTCAAGTTGTTTATATTGACTAAGCTCTCTCTTTGCAAATGTTTTCATTAATGCATGCTTGCATGTTCATATAGCATAAATAATGCATTTTTTGTCTTTCTTCTTGTTAAAAAAAATAAAAAATTTAAAATTTAAAATTTATAAAAATAAATAAAAATTAAAAAAAAAATGTATGAGGAAAAATGGAAAAGTATGATTTCATATGAGTTCTAGCTTTGTTCACTTGATAACATGACCCTAGCATGATATGTTTGACTCTGTTGTGGACAATAGCCTCTTGTTGATAATATATCAATGTTAATGAGTTGAACATGTTTAACTTGAGTAAAACCCGCACCCATGTGAGCTTTTGTGCCAAAATATAGTGTGTGCATTTTTCATACACTCTTATTTTTTTCATGTGTGTGATCTTATGTGTTTTGCTGCTCTAGAACTTGCTTTGAGACCTCTCAAAACTTTGTATCATATATTATTCTATTTTGGAAATGATAGTAGGCATTAGGACTTACCATCATTGCCATATATGCCAGTGCCTTACATGTTTTCCCCTAGTTAACCCTTTTGAGCCTATATGTAAGCCTTTTGTTCTTAAACCTCCATTTCCCTTACCTAGCCTCTTACATTAAAAATTCCCTACCCTACTAAGAAGCTAGTAGAGTACGTTTTTCAAAGGAGAGAGTTCGATGTTATTTAAAAGTTGAAGATGCAAAATTTTGTGAAGAAAGCCAACAACACATGAAAAGCAAAAGAAGAAAAGAGGAAAAGAAGTCACTATGAATCATAAGTGAGCTGCCAGCATTATAAGAAATCAAGTGTGTTGGTCTAAATGAAGAGCAAGAATCATCTGAAATGAATTGTGCGGTTGTATGTCGTTCATGTCTTAAATCCAACCGCTCAATTGAGTGCTAAGTTACCTGGTTCGTTGTTGTATTTCTCTCTTGGTTTCATTTCCAACTACTCTATTAGTTTCTTAGACTTTGTGTTTCCTATATCCTTCATTTCTTTAACCGAGTACCTGAAGCCCCATTACAACCCTTCACAAAGACCTACTTGATCCAAAGAAGGTAATTTTTGATGTGTGGAGATGAGATCAATCAGCAAGCCTATGGTAGAACATTCATGTAATGATCTTTTGAGCGTATACACTTACCCCCAAACACTTTGAATGAAAATTCGAGCGTATATCTTGTGAGCTTAAGGGTTAAAGTTAAGTTGGTCGTGTAAAACTTAATTACATTTGTGTAGTATCAACTTTCGGCTATACTTGCAACTACACTCATACATGTTATGTTTTAGGGACAATGTTAGGTTGTGAATGAGGATTCAGAACTACATGTGATTTTTTTTTCACTCTTTCACTCTTGTTGGAACAATTATATGCTTCTCATAAAATATATATATATATATATATATATATATATATATATATATATATATATCTATATATATATATATCATATCATTTGCGTGCTGCATTTCATTATATTTTTTAAAGCATTTGTTTAGGGGGAGCTTAACAATATGAAAGATGTTCGTTTCTTTCCATGTTATTCTTTTGATCATTACTTTGATATTCTTTTCCTCCCAATTTCGTCCCCACTTTTATTTTATCACATTTTGTTTTGTTCCACTTATCTTCCGCTGACTGCACCTGATGGTTAACTCTAAGGCCTTTGACCTTTCTAGACAAAAAGGGGGAGAAGTAGGAAGCCTATATTTAGGGGGAGAAGTAGAATTTCGAAAACCTGGTTGTTTTTGGTTGCTTGCTATTATAGATAAATGCTTTCATTTACAGCAGCATATATCTTTTGTACGTCACAGGTTTTCTTGTTTGAGTGTGTGCAGGTTACAGACTTCAATGTTATGCATGGTCGTTAAGATTATTAGTTGTCTGTAATACTGTGATAGAGGATTTTGTCTAGGAAATGCCAAAGGGGGAGATTGTTAGGGTAAAATTGGCAATCCCTGACAAAATGCCTGAGTCTGTAATAGCTTAGACTTGTTATACATTTTCAATTGTAATAGTTTAAGTCTAGGAAGGGTTCTCACACTTTCGATGCAAATATGTTACCTACACGCGATAAATATTCAGGTACGTTTGCATGCATACATCCAACTACATTCATCTATATCTCATGGTATTGTTTTTGATATAGGACTCTTAACCATTGTGTGGTTTATCTCTTTAAAATATCTTATTCCTTTATATTCGAGATTTTAAAGCATGCAAAATAGTTTAATTGCATTAGGACTAATCTGATGGTATTGAGACTTTTCAAACCGTGTTATCAAAACGTGTTTGGGTGTTGGTAGAATTATAAAGCTACATGGATTGTAGTATCAGATAAGGAATTGAGTCGATGCTTTTGCATATATATATTGGAAGTCAGGAAAGTGAAAGTTTGAGCCATATATGCATAATAAACTGATTTTATTCAAAAACTTTTTCAAAAGCAAAAGCTTGGGTTTGTGTGTGCGTGAACAAATGGTTTGAGTATTGCTGTTTTCGTATGGTTCCAACAGCATGGGTTTTTAAGAGAAGATATTATTTTTCATGCTGTTTTTCTTTGAGATTTTAAATTGAATATCAATTATGGAAATGAGCCTTGTGATTTTCGTAATTGATTGTTTTCCAAACAAACACTTCATCATATAAACATTCTGCATGATCGAGTTAGTATCCTGCAAAGTTCGAGGGAAAGGTGATTGACGGCTGCGTTAGTGTCGTGCCACTTCAACTCGAAGACTGAAGAAAGATCGAGTAGCAAAGCGTGGAGACAAAGCTGCCAACTGGTATGAGTGTCTAGTTGATGAGTTTTGTAAGTCTTTATGTATTCTTTCTTTCTTAGTGCTTCCTGGCTTGGTAGCCCGAGGATTTTCCCAGTGGTGGGTTTTGCCTCGTAAAATCCTACATCATGTGTGCACTTTTTATTTATCGTTTTAATTCCATATGAGTATGATAGTTTGATATGTGATATGAATGTGGATTTAATTTGAGAACTGAAAATTAAATTGAAAATTGAATTGGATTTTTAAATTGGAACCTATTCACCCCCTCTAGGTTAAACTAGTACCCATCCTAGAACTTTCAAATGGTCTTACTGATATTTTACATTTGTACCACTCTAGTCCTAAGTAAATAACGCCACAGATATATACATGATATTCGGTTATTTCACATCTGTTGAGCAATACAGCATGTAATCAAAATCGTTAAGAAAGTCATTATGTATGCCATTCAATGGTGAAGCACCGATACCAATCCTTATCTACCCATTTTTGTAGGTCTCGAGATCCTGAAGATGTTATAACAGAAACAAGATCAAAAAGATTAGCTTAGCCTGTAGGGCTTACAGGTTAGTCTTTTTTTAGAGTTTATATTAGGAAGAACATAGTTTTGCACTTGATCACAACATCAGCATTGAAAATATAAGCAGAGTATGTACTGCATCTAAAGAGTGTCAACTTTTAGCCATAATGTTATATGATACCATATCTCAAATTGTTTGCTGCATAAAGGTTTGCTTTAAAAGCTACCAAAGTTGCAACATTGAAGAATCACTATGCTTATAATTATGTATAAGTGAAAATTTCTCTACTGTAAATCTAAATGTTTAAAATAAAGTTTGTTGTGTCATCTACTGAATGTTATGGCGTAATCTCTTGCGGTTCTCGAGAGCTTACAGTATAAGCAGGTTATTATGGTCATTTACTGATTGTTTCTACTTCTAATGCATATTTCGTCTTCTCAACAATGCCATTACTGACTGTTTCTGCCGATTTTCGTAGGAGCTGCTATTCGACTGCAGAGGAAATGTTTTGAATGGGTTATGCTGATCTATTATTGGCTTTACTACGATGCTTTAGCTGAAATGTCTGATTCTGATCCTTTTTCTTGAATTGTTGTCAATGTGGACTGGATGGATGGTCCACATGAGACATCATCTTCTTCCAACTGCCATGCCTCAGATTGCAGTTGTTAGATTAATAAGTAGTATTAGACTATTAGTTGCGTAGCTGATGGTTAAAATCTGTTTTTTTTCACCTGGTGTGCTTCTATTGCAGGTTCTTAACAAAATGGGGGAAATGCTTAAAGCAAATGGGGCCAACTATTCCTCTGTGGTTAAAACGACTATTCTATACGGATTTGGTGTTGGAGGTGAAATTGGATGTTTGTTAAGTCCATGCAGGTTGGCTGATTTGAAAGACTTAAGAAGGCCACTGAAATCTATGCAAACTGTAAGATCTACGGATACTATAAGAAACAATCTGACCTTTAGCAAATGAAGAAGATGAAGTAATAGTCGACGTCAATGGTAAGCTTCTCATCTCTTGCAGAAATAATATGGTTGACTTACAATAGGTCTAAGCCCAATAATAAGCGCCTCTTTTTTTCTTTTCTTTTTTTATGTGAGATCAGTGGCCACTTTTTTTATTGACAAACAATCTCTTTTATTCTCCTGTTAAAATACTTGCAGGAATCCAACAATATTGTTTCCCAATTTTTATATACTAGCCTCCATGCACGCGCTCATGCACGTGCAGAAGACATTTTTTGAATCACGACGTGTTACGTGTGATTTACATGTTTTAAATGTATTTATCAAAATAGATAGAAATGAATAATAAATTTACATTTAATAAAAGCGGTATTTTAACTAATCAAAGCAGCTGAATCCATATTAATAAAAGCAATATTTTGATTTTCATCTACATTCTATTAGATATTTAATAAATAACTGATTGTTTGCCCATTGTGAGACTAAGTTCACTCCCTCCCCTTAGTGTAGATAACATCGTTTGTTTAAAAAAATGATCATTTGACAACTAATTGAATTACATTATTATGCATGTGCTAGAGATTTTTTTTATTTTTTTTTTTATTTTTATAACTGGCACTACACACCTCTTTAGTGTTTAAAAATTGAGAAATAATACTTAATAAACAACCGCGTGCAAAATGCATTTTTTGAATCACAGCGCGCTACGCGTGACTTAGAGATTTTAAATGTATTTATGTGCTTGAATTGCTTCAATATTTTTTTTTATTTTGTTATTTTCTTTTTTTTTATCACCGACGCTACATACTTTTTAAGATATTTTGAACACAACATTCATGATTTTTCTTATTTTTATTATATTTTTCTTCCCCATCACTTGGGCATCATCAACTTTGTCATTTGTTTATTCTTCTCTTTTCCCTTTCATTTTTTATTATTTTCTCTCTCCCCATTTATATTTATATTATATTTTATGATGACCAAATTACCAACTTACCCTTGCATGATTTGATATATTATTTTAGGTAGGTTTTGAATTTTTTTGGCTGAGGGGCAGTTTGGTCCAATTCTTTTCAAAGGGGGTGACACCAAAATTTTTGTCCCATGCGTGACCCAAGCCACTGTTCATCTCACCATTGGCTTTATATATAATAGAATAAGTGAGTAATTATATGATCAATTATTTGTTTCATTCATATATAAACTAGGACATCCAAACCTCGTTCAATGAGACTTTTCTAAACCAATTTGAACTCAAACATATGGCCAAATTTTACACCTACACATATTCTAACAGATACTGTATAAATTTGATATTGGGATTGAATCCTTAATTACACTATAGGTTTTCGATCTGCCCAAAACTGTAAGATGTAAGGGTACTGAAGCATTGATAGGACTTCCACGTAGATAGAATGGGGATGGCTTTAACTCTTCAATTTTCAGGTTGTTTGAGCTAATCTCATTCGCACGTTCTTATATGCTCAAATTACCTGTTAAAGTTCTTACAAAACAGATTTTTAATTTTTAATCTAGATTGCTTGAAGCATGATGAATGGTTGGATCTTGTTCTCTTTCTGAAGGGGATGTCAAATTCTTTTAAAGCCGCTCCTTCCCTGAACACACAATCCTTTATTTTGTTTAACTGCAGTGACAACCATTACTTGTTCATTTAACTTGGCTTATACTATACGGTTTTGTGTTGCAGATTTTCCATCTCCAACCCCAGCGCGTCCAACATTTCAGGTAGCGGCGCTGCCTTTGGATGCCAAGATTGAAATTGAGTGCATCGCAGCAGTGTAACCTCCTAATATACAGCTTCTTCTCAGCAACTTAGAAAATAATGTAGGAACTAGGAGGTGGCATCTTTGAGTTTTGAGTTTCACATTTGTATTTCCTCCTTGGCCTCCTGCTCGAGGTTATTATAACATCGCTTTTGTATCTAAAAACTAAAGAGAGAGACCAACCGACGTTATTGAAATGGACCTTTCCCTGCTTTTCCTTGCGGAAGTCTTGAGTAATTATAATTGTGTTTATATTTCACTTTATGATAATATGCCCTCCTTTCCTTTGTGCTTTATGCCCTTCTCTTATATTATTAAGAACTTTAACATAAAGCTCCCGGTACTGTTTACTTTAACGAAAAATCACATTTTTTTCACTAAAAGTCAATCATGTACTATTTACTTTACCCTTTATTTTGTCTTTATCGTTAAAACTTAAAGTTTTCAAGCCATTTTCATTAATTTTCCTTAAATTTTTAACTCGTCTTGTTTTGTTATAGGAATGTGCAGGGCTCTTAACTAAGATTTTTAACTAGGACAATAATCAAAGAAACAACAAGAAAATTGAAATTTGATAGACCCAAATTGATAGCACAGAAGTTAGATTGATGCCTTTTTATAGAGGGAGAAATCAGGAAGCCAAGTGTGTCGCGGATGGAGAAATCAGGGGAGGCAAGACGAAACCAGAGTTGAAAAGCCTGCCTACAATGGTGCCGTGTTAGGAGGATGGTGATTTCTCCAGTTTGAGGAACAGAGAGTACGCTTGACTTTCCTCTATTTACTTCAATCGGAGTTAGAGACAGCTGATGTTTCATTTTTGTTTTTTCCCCTAAATTTTTTGGTTCATTGAGAGAGCCAAAGTAAGTGAGGAGAGATTCTTTGTTGCAACCACGATATAGTATTAGTTGTGTTGCCCGTTCAGTAGATACGGATCCTACCAACCATGGCTGGGTTGGGTAATACTCGAAACAGTTTTCCTTCGGACCAAAACAAACTGAGCCCAATAATCAAACGATCTGAACTATTGAAATTTGATCTAACGATTACAATTTTTATAACTTTTAGAGAGGCCCGTTGTTTGTAGCCGTTGGATTAAATTTCAATGGCCCGGATTATTTGATGAGTGGGCTCAGTTCCTTTGGGTTCGGAGGGGATCCGGTTCCGTTATAGCCCAATTGAGGTTTGGAGGAAAATGTAATACCTGTTATAAAACTAATGAAAATAGTATAGGGAAATGAGAAATAGAGAGTAAAGAAAGACATTAGAAAAACATTCTTCAAACTTGTGTCTTCGGTCTTTGTAAGCATCAATCCATAGCAGGCCTTTTAGGAGAAGGGATCCTTAGTTTTTTCAGAAAATGGGAATTAGTTGTGGGATTCACTCTACATCGAACTTCAACGATTCCAATCATTTATTTTGTAAGTCTCGATTCATTAATCATTCTTGCAAAAATTCAATTCAATCCAAAATGATTTGTCTAGTTAATAATCACAATGAAATTTCCCTTTTCTTATAGAACAGAGTGATCGTCAATTTCTTTAAACTCAATTAGATGTCTTAATCAAATATTTCTGATTTGTCTAATATTTTGCAAAGATGATCTAAGAGATGCAACTTGAAAAATAAATGATTCGGATCTTGAAGTTTAATGTGGTGTGACCCTCACAACAAATCCCCATTAAAAAAATGAGGATCTCTTCCCTTAAAGGCCTCCCTATTTATAGGCTTACAATAAATAGGATTTTAACTCAACATGTCATACATTTTCAATACTCCCCCTTGTATGTCCACCGTACAATGATGATATAGTTGCTTCACTAAAAACTTAGCTTGGAAAACCCAATAATACAAAACCCTAAACAAAAGGAAAAAGAGTGCAACATTCTTCAAAATCATTGATAAAGTGCTAGGTAAAATTTAGTGGGACAAAAACTTAATCGAAGGGATGAAAAGTACAACACACATATGTCTTTTACTTCAAAATGACTTTTTAGCCAAAATAGTCCTTGAGATTTGCATAACACATCATTTTGGTCTTTGAGATTGAAAATTAATAGAAATGATCCCTAAGATTGTCCACATCCATTATTTTGGTCATTCCGTTGAGTGGTCTAGAATCGTATTCTAGTTTTGGATTCCTTTGAGTGGTCCGGAATCCCGTTTGGTATTTTGATTCTGTTGAGTGGTCCGGAACCTGATGTTGATGAATTTCGTTGAGTGGTCTGAAATCCCATTCTTCAGAGATGTAGGCTTCGGCCGAACTATGTCACTCTAGCTCTGCACTTGATCCATTGTATGTGTTATTGATTGATGTGATTATGGAATGGTGTTGGAAAGCATACGTGTGTGGATGGCATGCCTGTGTGCATGGCAAGATGATAATTGTTGTTTGGCTTATGGTTGATGTGTAGCAGTGGTACATGGATGGTCCTGCATGGTTTATCCGCAATGGGGGACCATACGCATTCTGGGAGTACTCATGCTTGGTATATTCGTGATGGGGGACCATACGCATTCTGAGAGTGATCATGCTTGATATATCCACGATGGGTGATCACCACCTAGAGTTAGGATATGGTCATGCGTGGTATATTCGCGATGGGGGACCATACGTATTTCAGGGGTGATCATGCTTGGTATATCTGCGATGGGTGATCATTGCCTGCAAGTGTAGATTATGCCTATGGTTCTGCTTGGTATATCCGCGATGGGGGACCATACACATACTAGGGGTGATGAGGATTAGTTGTACTTGGTACATTTCGATAGGAGATCATATTTTGGTTGGATACCGTTGAGTGATCGGAATCCCGACTCTTGTTCATTTTCATAAAGTTAGTCTGATCCTAAATTTGAGTCAGTAGGAATTGCTCACCGTAGACGTTATGTTTATAAATTAGAATTATCATATTATTACTTGGAAACCATGTAGGGAATTATGTAGAATTCCTTTATTAAATTTCGTGTATTGAAATGCGATCTTACTGATTGATTAATGTAGTTAAATGTTAATATAGTACATCTCTGATTCTTATGACTGATTAATTGGAGTGATTGTGGAATGATGTTGGATATGATTGTTATTATTATGATTAGACTCATTAACCAATGTGGCTAGAGAATAACATTGTGCTTCGTTGATTGTTCTTTAAGATGTTGCATACTATGAATTGCGGTATTATGCGAAACATAGTGATTTATATGATGGATGAATTGGAAATCTTGATTGTCATGTGGGTTTTTTATGTAGCCCTGAGTCTAGTAATTTCATGCTTGTCAAGTTCTAATGATTCATTGAGGAAAGTTATGCCTTTCAGCTTGAACGAACTATGATATATGTCGAACTGTAGTGAATGGTAAACTACGAATGACTTGATCTCTATTTAAAGTACGTAGGTAGTCTAACGAAGAGGTTAGATGTAGCCATAAAGTATACGAAAATTACTACGCAATTCAAATCTTGAATTATGCTTTGTACATATCCCGGAGGCAAGGTATGTTGGATTTACGGATACTTGGTGATGTTGTGTTGATCCTAAACGTATATCGGAATCGGGGCGTGACAACCCAACTACCACATTCCATTATTGGCACCACCACCATACCTTTACAATTGTTGTTGTCATTGCCATCACCATCACCATCACCAATATTGTCAGCCCCATCACTTACGACTGCAACTACTAGCATTACACCACTGTTGCCATCACCACCACTATCATTGCCATCGGCAATACCACTGTAATTGCCACCACTACCGCTGCCACCACTGCTACCTCAAAACCCTGACCACCACACCCTATTATTAGCACCAACACCACACCACCACCATTGTTGCTCCCATCACCACCACTACCTTCGACACCATTGTTGTTGCCACCACCCCCACTATTGGATCTATTTTTGTCATTATATACAATTATATCACTTTTACAATGAAATTTACCAAACGTTTTTACACTGTTTTTTACGCTCACAATACTTTTAAAATACAGTTTAACAACCACTCAACTGTTTTATTTTACAGCCAAGTATTTTAAAGCTCAGCAGAAGCATTTTTTTTTAAAGTACAACAATCCCAAATTGATTCGTAGATACATGTGCCAATGATAAATCTTATTCACTCACATATTTTTCTTTCACGGATGAATTGTAGAGATTTAGTTAAATCTCAATTAGTTAAATACATTAAACTAAAATTAGTTAAAATTCATCATATCACCCATAAAGAAAAATTGTGCATTTTCATTGATTAATAATACGATGGTTAGAGTCATTTCATACTACTATCTAGTTGTATTCCTCTTCATGAGATGTTTTAGGGTCAAATTTCGCCAAACGAGAATTTAAACCATATTATTACTAGCCCACACCCCTCTCTCTCTTAATATAGATAATATTGTTAGGTTTTTATTTTTTTAAATTTTTATTTTTTTGAACCAGAGATAATATTGTTAAGTTAAAAAAAGGGAAAATAGAAGCCCAATAGCAAAATTAAAGTAAAGTCCAAGAAAAAAGGGAAAATAGAGTATCTGAACATAAAAAACAAAACATGTAAACTGCGAGTAGTGGCAACAAGTCCAACTGAGACGCAGACTCCCCGAGAGAGAGAGAGAGAGAGAGAGAGAGAGAGAGATGGTTTGGTGTGCGGTGAGGAGCTTTCACATTCCGGCGGTCGACATGGGCGCATTGCGCACCCGTGCTCCGTTAGCTGCCGTCGCGGGCTTTTCCTCGGTAGCTGGCTCCACTTTCTTTCGATCTTTGGCTTCATCGAAGCCCTCCTCTCGCTTCGCTTGCTCAGCCATTTCCACCGACGCTCGTAAATTCCAACTTTTTAATCTCTCTCGTTTATTTTAATTTCTGGTTGGTTACTTGATTAGAAATCCGGTTCCTCTGTTTGGTTGCATAATAGGAATCCCTTTTGATCAATTCTGGATAAAGGTCTGTACTTTGCGTGTGAATTTAACACGGGCAGTTTTTGTACGGTTGGATTTTAGGAATTAAGGAAGCTGTTCACACAGACAAGGCTCCGGCTGCATTGGGACCGTATTCTCAGGCAATCAAAGTCGACAACTTTGTCCATGTGTCCGGTTGTCTTGGTCTGATTCCAGAGGTTTGTGTCTTGGATTTTTGTTTTTGTTTTGCCACTTAAATCCATTAATGTTGGTATGAAGTGGGTGATATGAACTTATGTTATTTAAATGCAGACAGGGAAGTTTGTGTCGGATAATGTTGTAGATCAGACAGAGCAGGTACTGTTGATGCTCTCATGTGTTGACTATACTTCATACTTGTGTGGTTTATTTGGATTTGAGATGGTCATATGTTAATCGATTTTGTGATTTTATTTTTACACATTTGGTTGGTGAAATGTCCTTGATTTTTAACTGGTTTGTTGTCAAAGCTATAACCTTCGAAACTGATAACCTTTGCTATGAGTTAGAAGTAAGTGACAGTTGTTCGAAATCGGTACTGTTTGAGATTTTGGCGGTTGCAGGATCTTAAATTATCGAGAATCCTGTTTCGTATCTTTGCAAAAGTGATGATGACACCAATCCAAGTGTTCAAGAGATTACTAAATAGGGGTTAGTGTTACTGCAATTAGATGTTTACTATAGAACTTAAATTATATCTCTTTAAGGTATCTAATCCAATTCGCCAATTAGTAATCTCCGACACTATATCATAAAGTAGAGTAATCTTGCAAATCTTCATCAAGGAGAAGTTGAATTTGTTAACATAATTGTTGGTTTTTAGAGTTGTCGTCTTTGCAAAAGTGTATAGTTGATAGCATTGCTGTGTGACTACTTTTGAAAGATTTGGGCTAATGAAACTATTGCAGGTTCTGAAAAATATGGGGGAAATACTGAAAGCAAGCGGGGCCAGCTATTCCTCTGTGGTTGAAACAACTATTCTGTACGGTTGGTTTTTTTTATTTTTTATTTTTATTTTTTTTAAATCTTTGCACAATCTTGATTGGAGACTTTAGTGTTGGAGAGGAAATTAATTGTCTCTTATGTCCATACAGGTTGGCGGATTGGAATGACTTCAAGAAAATCAATGAAATCTATGCTAAATGTGAGTTTTATTGGAGATAAATTTGACATTTGAGATTGAATTCTTAATTACACTGTTTGGTTTCTATCTGTCCAAAACTGTGAGACATAAGGGTATCGAGGTATTGATAGGACTTCCAGGTAGAGAGAATGGAGCTGACTTTAGCTCTTCAATGTTCGGTTTATTTGAGCTAATCTCATTTAGCACAATTTGATGCTCAAATTACCTGTTAAAGTTTGTAGAAACAGATTTGGCTCTGCTTAATTTTTAGTACAAATTGCTTGAAGCGTGATGAGTGGTTGGATCTTGTTCTCTTCCTGAAGGGGATGTCATTTTCCTTTAACTCTACTCCTTCCTTGAACACACAATCCTTTATTTTGTTCAGCTGGTCCATGACTTTTGATTCAATATGTTATGTGCAACACTGTGGTGACAACCATTTACTTGTTCATTTAACTTGACTTACGTTATATGGTTTTGTGTTGCAGATTTGCCATCTCCGGCCCCAGCACGTTCAATATTTCAGATAGCAGCTCTGCCATTGGATGCTAAGATTGAAACTGGGTGCATTGCGGCATTGTAACCTCCTAATATACATCTTCTTCACAGCAACTTAGATAATAATGTTAGAGGTGACATCTTTGTGTTGGGTTTCACATTTTAATTTCCTCCCTGGCCTCCTCCTCGTTGATGTTATTGTAACATTGTTTTTGTATCCGAAAACTAAAGATCGAGTCCAGCAACGTTATTGAAATGGAACTTTCCTTGCCTTTCCTTATGAAGTTGAGTAATTATATTTGTGTTTATATTTCACTTTATGATACTATGCCTTCCTTTCCGTTGTAATTATATTTGTGTTTATATTTCACTTTGTGTTTATATTTTGTTAGAGGAATGTGAAGGGCTCTTTCTCAGATTTTTAACCCGGACAATAATCAAAGAAACAAGAAGAAAATTGAAATTCGAAAGAGCCCAATTGATAGCACAGAAGTTGGATTGACGCTGTTTCTAGAGGAGAAATCAGGGAGCCAAGTCGTGTCGCCAATGGAGAAATCAGGGAGGGGATGACGAAACCAGCGTCGAAAAGCCGCTACAATGGTGGGCGTCGTTTTAGGAGGATGGCGATTCCTCTAGTTTGAGGAACATAGAAACTTGACTTTCCTCCATTTGCTTCAATCGGAGTTAGAGACGTCTCATGTTTCTTTTCCATTTGTTTTTCCCTAATTTTTTTTATTGTCGAATAAGAGAGAGCTCTGAGAGTGAGAGCTTTGAGAGGGGGTGAGAGGGCCTAGGAATTGGCCCTCCCTAATTGTGAAGGTGAGGGGTCCTTCTATAGAATAAGAATTCCTCATCTATTACATTTTTGCCCCTTCCTTTATCACATAATTACATTTAAGTCCCCGAGTATTTGTACGAAATCTAAATACAAGGCCCTAAATATGGTATAAACAATAGTCCCCCAAGTCTTCAGTCAAAAGAGTCTTTTGGTTGGAGACTTGAAATTCAGTCCAAGTGTAGGCTGAAATAACTAGATGTCATCTAGGACTGATACTCGATATGAGGCGGTGTCCAATCCGAAATGATGCTCAACTATCACATGTTGCGAGGCTGCTCGGCTTGTGGCTTATGTTGCCTTGGTTGGCTCGGCTTGTGGCGTTGAAGGTGAGGGAGTCCCTTTTATAGAATAAGGGCTCGCTCCTCAATATATAAATGATGGGCTAAAGTTGATGCTCGCGGCGAGGCGGTTACTCAGTAGGCGGCGATGCTCTCTAATGGTGGTGAGGGAGTCCCTTTTATAGAATAAGGGCTCGTTTCTTAATACATAAGTGATGTGTTAGAGTTGATGCTCGCGGCGAGGCTGTTGCTCAGTAGGCGACGATGCTCTCTAATGGTGGTGAGGGAGTCCTTTTTATAGAATAAAGGCTTGCTCCTCAATACATAAGTGATGGGTTAGGACTGATGCTCGCGGCGAGACGGTTGCTCAGCTAGCAGCGTTGCTCTCTAATGGTGGTGAGGGAGTCCTTTTAATAGAATAAGGGCTCGCTCCTCAGTATATAAATGATGGGCTAGAGTTGATGCTCTCTAATGATGGTGAGGGAGTCCCTTTTATAGAATAAGGGCTCGCTCTTCAATACATAAATAATGGGCTAAGTCCCCTAAGTATTTTCCATGAGGCATGAATGGCTAGTTGCCAAATGATATTAGAGTACGGGTTGTACATTTCATCACCTGGTTGGTGGGAAACTCTTCTGGACGAAGGGCCAATGGCTGATCATAGGAGTGAAGGGCTCGGGAGGGGAGTGAGGAAAATATGTAATAAGTGAGGAGTTCTTATTCTATAAAATGACCCATCACCCTCACAATTGAGGGAGGCCAATTCCTAAGGCTCCTCACCCCCTCAAGCTCTCTCTCTCCCTCTCAGAAATACAATATCAGTATGGACGTAGCCCAAACCTTGGGGTAAACCACAATACATCTTGTGTTATTTACATTTCTTGCAGATTCACGATCGGATTTACGTTGTTCCAAGACCTCCGATTTTGTACAGTAACATTTGGCGCGGTCTGTGGGAAACGATATGAAAAGTTGTGTCGGTTCTCTTGCATTTTTTCACTTCCACCGTGAATATGCAAAATCACAAAAACCCAGAAACAGAAAAGATCTAGATCTTTCTCTCTTTTTCTTCCTCTCTCTAGCTTCTCTCTCCCTTCTCTCTCTAAAGTGCTCTTTCTGTCTCTAGGCTGAAGAGAATCCTAAAACTCACCGACTGCAAAAAGTAACAAAAATGGCAAACTCATATTTTTAATTTCCACACCCACGACATGTACTCAGAGAAGCCTCAACCAATCGATTTCTACAAGAAGGAAGGCAGTCGGGACATGATGATGGAGGTGGTCGTTTCAAACGAGGAACTCTCCAAATCCCGCACATTTTGACGGAACACCGCGACTTCGCCGCTTTTTCAATGAAGATTAACGTCGTCAAGTAATGCGGTATGGATATCTCCGAAAGCGTAGCGACAATTAGGACAGAGAAAGCGGCAAAAATGACCCAACGGTCACGAGCAACCAAGCCCCACATCTGAGTGAGAGCGCGCGCAACAGTCGCCAGCTTCGCGAAGATTCTAATCTCCGCCTCATCGAAGAAACGCGAAGAGTTGCCGGAGCGTCTCTGACAGCTGGACATCGGCTTCTTCGGCGTCGTTTTTGTACTCTTCGGTGGTCGCGTAGCCGTTGAAGGAGGTCGATTTTGGGGGAGAGAAATGGAAGCGTGTGGAATTTAAAGAATGGGTGGAGAGAGAAAGGCGAAGGTTGAAGGTGGTGGTTCGGGTTGCGGAGGTGAAATGACGGAGTTTACGAGGGGTTATTGTGATGAGAGGTTGTTGGTGCTTCTTTGTGTTGTTTCGGGAATTTGCAGGTCAAAATCTTTGGTATATGAGGATGCTGTTTCGGCATTGCAAATATGCTTCTTGTCAAGAGAATGAGGGAAACACTATACCCTTCACTTCTTGTTCAGTCACCAACAGAAAGGGAAGTCATTCTCGATCAAGGAGTGCGCGATTTCAATAGTGTTGGCAGTGGGATTAGTGACAGGAGCAAAAGCAAAAGCAAAGCAATCAGGTCATCCCTTCAGCATTAAAGGAGCCACGTGCTCCACCGAGGCCTCGAGAGCCCCTACCACGATGTTTTCTATTTCTGTCACGATTACCCCTGTTGCCGTTAATCATGTCATCAAGCGACATATCCAAAGCAGAAAGCACAAAGAAAAGTAGAAAGAAAAGCAGAAAGCAAAAAAGAAAGCAAAAGCAAGGAATAAACACCCCACCAGAATGATGTGATTTACTTTTCTTGTTTTTGTATGATGTGATTTATTTTTCTTATCCTTCGGAGACATTTGTATAAACCCCATCAGAGGGTAAAAAAAATAAAAAATAAAAACACGGCAAAGCCCAAAATAAATAGGTTGTAATGTTGTGTGGAGAGCGAAGACCCATAAGCCCAAAATAGCACCAACCAGGTGACTAAAAGTACGCCTAGTACTCCAAAATTATTCGGCAACCTGGCGCTATTAGCACCAACCAGGTGATCAAAAGTACGCCCAGTACTCCAAAATTATTCGGGAACCCACCGCAATTACCACCAACTAGGTGATGAAATGTACAACCCGTACTCTAATATCATTTGGCAACTAGTCATTCATGCCATCAACCAGGTGATGAAATGTACAACCCGTACTCTCTTTCATGCTACCAACCAGGTGATCAAAAGTACGCCCAGTACTCCAAATTATACATGAGCATTACTCATATCATTCATACATAAACATTCATGAGCATCACTCATGACAATCATACATAAACATTCATGACCATCATTCATGTCAATATTCATGAGCATCACTCATGTTAACATTCATGAGCATCACTCATGACAACATCCATGAGCATCACTCATGTCAATCAACATAAACATTCATGAGCATCATTCATGTCAATCAGCTTCAAAAGCTTCATTTACAAAAGCTCCAGCTTTGAAAGCTTCATTTACAAAGCTCTAGCTTCAAAGCTTCACTTACAAAGCTTCACCTACAAAGCTTCAGTGCAGGGTATACAAATACCGCCTCTGAACAACCTCCACTTCGGCCCATACATGGATTCAATTTGAAGTCTCCAGCCAACAGACTCTATTGACCGAAGACTTGGGGGACTACATTATGTACTATATATTGGGCCTCAACTAGGCTTCATGAAAATACTTGGGGGACTTAGCCCATTATATATGTACTGAGGAGCGAACCCTTATTCTATAAAATGGACTCCCTCACTTTCATTAGAGAGCACTCATGAAAAATACTTGGGGGACTTAGCCCATCACTTATGTATTGAGGAGTGAGCCCTTATTCTATAAAAGGGACTCCCTTACCTTCAAACACCACAAGCCGAGCCAACCAAGGCAACATAAGCCCCGAGCCGAGCAGCCTCGCAGCGTGTGCTAGTTCTAGTTGAGCATCATTTCAGATTAAGCACCGCCTCATATCGAGCATCAGTTCAAGACAACATCTAGTTACTTTGGCCCACACATGGACTGAATTTCAAGTCTCCAGCCAAAAGGCTTTCGTGACTGAAGACTTGGGGGACTACTGTTTATACTATATTTAGGGCCTAGTATTTAGACCTCGTATAAATACTCGGGGGACTTAAATGTAATTATGTAATAAAGGAATGGGCAAATATGTAATAATTGAGGAGTTCTTATTCTATAAAAGGACCCCTCACCCTCGCAATTGAAAAAGGCCAATTCCTAAGGCTCCTCACCCCCTCAAGCTCTCTCTCTCCCTCAGAAATACAATATTAGTGTGGATGTAGCCCAAACCTTGGGGTGAACCACGATACATATTGTGTTATTTACATTTCTTGCAGATTCACGGTCGGATTTACGTTGTTCCAAGACCTCTGGTTTTGTGCAGCAACAAATTATAAATTAGGAATGAAATTTTGAAGTTTTTTTTTTTTGAACAAAAAGAAAGAGGGTGGGCTTATCCTTGCAATGAGCTATCAACAATGTGGTTCAAATTCATCTTTGGCAAGAATTGAACCTAAGATATTTCACTTGAAAGAGGGTTATCACTAGACCGTAATACCATCAAAAGCCTTTTAATTAGATTTTATATTCTCTCTCCATCAAGAATTTATCGTATATAGCCAAAATTTAACATACAAATTATAAAATATTTCAAATATAGCCAAAACTCCACTTGAATAGACCTAATTGCCCTTAAAATCTACACCTAATTACATAAAAATGCTTT